TTACAACAGTTGGCCCTCTCGACGGATGGTCTGAATAAAAAGCTAACTAGCTAATCTAAGCTAATTAAACTACTTATTACAAAACAAAGCTAATTAACTAGCAAGTTAACTAATTATTACAAATTGAAGCTAATTAACTAACAAGTTAACTAACTAGTTATTTCAAACATAAATGAATAGTTAAGTGTATTAACTACTTAAGTACAAAATCAAATAGCTAATCTAAGCTAAGCAACTAAGTAATGCAAATAGAAGGGGCCTTGGAGCGAGAAGCGCATGCATGCTCAGTCGCCTTATTCAAAAATCCATCGCGATGCCCTAGCTTGCCTTGGTTTGCAATTGTTCTCAGAACCTTGCACAAAGCTCCAGATAGCTTTTGCCCCACCATGGGAACCTCCAGGAGCATTGCCGACCACTTGGTGGTGTTGCCAACCACCTGCCGACCACCTACCTTCGCTGCAGACCAGAAATGTTGTCGGCCAGCCACTTTTACCGGTCTGTCGACCATTTTTTGCTGCCGAACTCTAATTTGCTACAACAGAGAACAAGAAGGGGCATGACAGTGTATTTGCAAGATATGTGTGCACAACCACCCTCCCCATCATTTCGTGATCTCAAGGGAGTGCGGTTCTCGACTCTCGGGCCACCAACGGAGCATCGCAACACACGATGGCCGAGATGCCAAGATTGCACAATTCAATGTAAATGAATGCACAAGTAACACATAAAGCCTTAAACTCTATCACGTGTGATCAAGAGTGCCGATGACCGAGAATCGAGGCACGTTTCATCACTTCAAGTATGAAACGTCCCTCGTTTCTCGTGTTTAGACTAACACCCTATCCAAACACAATGCAATGCAATGCATGCAAGCAAACAGTAATGCAATGAAACAAGCATGCAAACATGAGGCAATGCAACAAGCATGTAAACACAATGTAATGCAACCAATGCTGAATGGACTTAAGCCGAATATGGACAGACCTCAGTCATGCCCAAAACAGTGGCCATAATGCTAAAATGATGGCATGAAATGCAAAACAAAGCATGGACATGCTCTAGCCCACCAACTAGGCATAAAAGCATAACTCTCAAACATGAGTAAGGAGTGACAAACATGGAAGTGTGACAACACCATATGCATTGAAATGTCATGTGAAATGGTGCCAAACCATTCAAACAACACAAGTATCGCATGCGAGAATCCTTAAGCATGAAAGCTAGTGAATGGGACTACACAAGAGGCATGCAATGCATAGCACAAATGGATGAACCAGCCACAAACAGAGCTGAAATAGGTCCAAACAAGGACCAAAACATGCTAAGATAGGAGCTCAAAGGTCTAGGCATGCAGGCATACGAGCTAGGCCACAAACAAGGCAACAATGGCATGACCCTTAGAGGCACTCAAAGGGTGAGAGAAGTGGATACATGGCAAGTCTATATGCTCTGAAATGTCATGGTAAATGATGCCCAATCATGTGTATGTCACAAATGAAGCATGTTATGGTGCTCAAAACTTGAAACTAGCATAAGCACTTATACTATAGCTATGCAATACATGAAGCATATAGCCAATACAACCCAAAATAGTCCTAGAGCATGCCAAAATGAGACTAAAACATGCACGGAGTATAGCCAAAACAAGCTAACATGAAGAGGCATGGAATATGCAAGGCCAAAAGGGAGGATTACACTACACCTACCAAAGTCAAGCAAGAAATGGCTTTGCCAACAAAAATCAGAGTTATATCATGGCAAAACAACCCCAAAAACACACTGAAATGATAGCTCGCAAGCTAAGGCATGAAGGCATACACAATGGCTCATGTTTAAGGCATAAAGCACAAACTCTCCAATGCATTGAAAGAGTGACAGATGCGAGTGTATGACCACACTACATGCACTAAAATCACATATGAAATGATGCCAAATCATGAAAATAGTCCAAGCAATGCATGCTAGTGGCTTGGAAACTCAAAGCTAGCGAGCTAGATTGAACCATGGCTATACAAAGCAATGCATGCATGACCAAAACAACACAAATCAGACCTTAAGCATGGTAAGACATGGCCAAAAGCTTCTTGGAGTTAAGCCAAAACATGCTAGAATGATGGTCTAAAGCATGATACACATTAAGCTAGTGAATGGAAATGCACTACAAGTGCAAGGAGCATGCAAAGGGCTATCAAACCAACCCAAAATAGAGTTATGGCATGCTAAAACAACACCAAAAACAAGCTGAGAGGAAGCCAAAACATGCTAGAAAGACATGCTACTTCATAAGGCATACAAGGCTAGTTTGTAAGAATTACACTACAAGTGCATAAACCATGCAGGGGATGACCAAACCAAGCCAAAACAGTGGTATGCCATACTGACATAAGGCCAAAAATATGCTGAGAACGAGCCAACACAAGCTTAACAAACATGCTCAGACATGGGGCATACAAGGCAAGCATTCAAGACACAAGGATAGGGGATGACCCTCTCCTATTTACGACCTCAAAACACAAGTTTTACCACTGAAAATAGAGAAAGTGATCTCAAGGGCCTAAAGTAATGGTGTAAAACAAAGCCAAACAAGGCATGCAAGGGAGTAGATCACCCCCAACACCAAAGAAGCCTTAAACAAACATGTTAAGCACTAAAAATCAGAACTTTTTGCAGTAGAAAGTTAGGCCTAAAACAACATGCAAATAGGGCCAAAAGCTCAATCAAAAACAAGGGCTTAAGAGGTTAGAGGCTCACCCTTGTATAACAACTTTAGAGCAACAACTCCAGCAGCTTTTTTGGATCAAAGCCAGTCCAAAAACACCAAAACTAGCTTCAAAGTGCCTCAGCAACAAGAGTATGGTGTTTTATTATGTGTTTGTGTGAAAAAGTGTGAGGAAACAACACTTTTAAGCACAAAAATGAAGCAAAGAGAGAAATATAGAGATAGGAGTGTATCTATATCTCAATGCAATTTTTCTGAACCCTGAGAAAGAAGAGAGGGCCTCCCTTTTGTAGAAAAGAAAACAACAAGCTTGTTCAACAAGCTTTAGGCCAGAATGAATCCCTCCATACACATGTATGGAGGATGCTTGTTGTGCCCAACAGCTAGCACAACTGGCAAGAAAATATCTTCAGAAAGGTGCAAGAAAGCAGCCGACCACTTGGTCGGCCAGCTACTTACACTGGTCGGCCGACCAGTGAAAGTGGTCTCCCAAAAAGAAAAGTGGTCGGCCAAGGGGAGGAGTGGTCTGCACACAAAAAGCAAGGTGGTGGCATGGTGGGAGAGCACTTTTTCTAGCTGTAAACCACTTGTAAACCACCAAAAATGGTCTACAGGGAAGAAAACTGGCTGGTGGGGAAGAATAGTGGTTTTCAGGGAGTGAAACTGGTCTTCCACCCTTATTCCACCCTCCAAGCAAGGAAAACAAGGTTTGTGCAAAAACAAACCAAAAAGGATGCAAGGCAAGAGTCCAGGGGACAAGGCGCGCAGCCAGAAGTCCCGAAAACCAATCTACGAGCACAAAAAATGGTCTGCGAGGGAGAAGTGGTCTACGACCACAAAAAGTGGTCTCCCAGACCACATTGTCCCTCTAGGAAAGGTCAACAAGGCATGGTTCAAAAACAAAGCCAAACGGAGAATGTTAAGCGGTCCCGAGACAAGGCGTGCGGCCGAAGGCTCCGAAAATCGAAAACTAGTCTCCAAGAGGGAAAAGTGGTCTATGGCCACAAAAAGGTGGTCTACAAGACCTCTCCCTCCCTCCAGGGAAGGGAAACAAGGCTTGGTCCACAAACCGAGCCAAAGCACAAAGAGTTCAGAGGTCTGGAGGCAAGGCACTCAGCCGAAAACTCTAGAAACTCGAAACGAGCACAACATGCACAATCACCGAGCTCTCAATCGATGACGTCTGAGTCTTAAGGTCGGTCAAAAATGGGGTGTCTACAATTGCACAATGAAAGAATCTATTAAAACATATAATTTTTGAGAGAACAATCTGCTATAAATTAAATATGCAGATATAATTTTTCAACCATTGGAATATTGGATTCATTGTGCTTATATATGTGTCTTGGTATGCTGATTATTCTTCTTACGAGACAATCTTTACCATTCGATTTCACCAGTAGTATTATGGCAAGCTTTTATTAACCATGGCAACTGATGCATGCTAAAATGTATCAAAACACCATAAACAGATATTTATGTATTCTATATGGAAATGCACATCAATTAATATTTGACTTTGTTTGTGCTTGCTTTCATTTGAAGGCATAATAGTTTGGTCTTTATTGATTGATTTGAGAGAGCAATGTATTTTTTGAATCTATCATAATCTATCAAGAGCTTTGTAGAAACGTTTGGTTTTTTCATTAATATGCTTCATACTAGATATGCTTCTAGTATGCTTGATAGTACTAATTTAGATTGCACCACCGGGATGCAATCATTAATGGTGCATGCATGCATAAATAGCCTTAGACCCGTCCAAGAATCTTCATTAGAGATACCTAGTCATCTTTGATGAAGCTCTTCTTGGATTGTCCAGTTGGACAGTTCAGGAGCACAAGTCTGTATTGTAATTAGTAGTTCTACTGCTTATAGTCCATCTCGTAGAGATTTCGTGTAGCAACTCCTTGTGTTCTCCGAGTGCATACTAGACAAGGTATAGGAGATAGAATTTTCTTGCAATGAAATTAAGAAAATTAGTGCTTCATTAGGTTAGTTGGAATAACAAAACTTCAGAGTTTAGACACATTAATTATACAAGTGGGACTTGCTTGTGCCACACATATTCTTTTCCCCCCTTCCATTGTGGCTTTGTGAAAAGAAATCTGAGATAGTAATGATGTTTAGTATGGTTTGTGGTCAAACAGAACTGGACAGTGATTACTGAAATTTGAACTCATCGTAGTGCTGTTAATTGTTTTGGTAGCTATCTTTAAGTTCAAGTTCTGGAAGACAAAATGAGAAATGGATTGACCAATGGCCATTCCTAGTAATCTAAAAAATCAGTGAATCAGTTGGTTGTAGTCAAAATTTTCTGCATGATTTTAGAGAGAATCTTTTTGATTTTGCAGAGAAAAGTTTAAAATCATGGAGACCCAATAGATCTGTGCTTGTTAGCACGTCTACGGAAGCATCAACAAAACAAGACTGTCCAGTATGTAACAACTTAAGTTTTTAAAGATATTACTGTGATTAAAATTTTTCCCCTCTTTCAATATCTCTTTTGTTTCTCTTCACTTAACTTAAAGGGCATTTTGACTTTTGTTTTGTTTTCCTCTCTCACTCGCTCTCGTCAATTCGAATATAGCTGAAGGTTCCTAATCTTATTGAAGGGAAATTTGTGGATTCACAAGCTTGTGCAATAATTGATGTCATAAATCCCGTAAGAAAATATGTTCCAGCAGATTCTATATTTATATTGTTTTTTCCGCTGAAGAGCTATTCACAGTGATGTAGTCTTATGCTTTATTGTTTAATTAGGCAACACAAGAGGTGGTTTCTCAAGTTCCTTTAACTACCTATGAAGAGTTCAAAGCTGCAGTTAGTGCAGCGAAACAAGCTTTTTCTTTGTGGAAGAACACACCTGTTACTGCTCGTCAACGCATCATGTTCAAGCTTCAAGAGCTCATTCGCAGAGATATTGTAACTATGCAAAAATGGTTTTTCTTTATTTTATTTTATTTTTACTTTGGCGTCATGAATTTTGACTGCATCAAAGGCAATTACCTTATTTTCAGGATAAGCTTGCCATGAACATCAGTACAGAGCAGGGGAAGACTTTGAATGGCGCCAAAAGCGACGTACTCTGTGGTTTAGGTTAGCATTTATGAATAAATAAATCCTGAACCCAGGTTATCATGATTCTGCTTATTAATTTTTTGGCTGTGTTTGTAGAGGTGGTTGAACATGCTTGTGGAATGGCAAGTCTCCAAATGGGGGAGTTTGTTCCCAATGCATCTAATGGAATTGATACCTACTGCATTAGAGAACCACTGGGTGTTTGTGCTGGGATCTGTCCCTTCAACTTTCCAGCAATGATTTCCTTATGGGTATGTCTGTCATATTTGTCTAGTTCTCATATGAGGTTGTGTGCTTTTTTTTCCCTGTCAAATTTCAGATTAGGCTGGTGTTGACTAGTCTCGTTTACCACACAATCAATTTCTCTGCCCTTCAGAGTTTATATAGTTGCCATCTTGCTTCATGGAAAATTCATGCTAAAGTGGACAAACTTGATAATAGTTTATAGTTGTATTCTTTTTCAAGAATTGTGTATGTATTCTATAGAGAGGAAGACAAAAAACTTCAAATCTGAATGTGTTTTATGGTTTTTGCAGATGTTTCCTATTGCAGTAACATGTGGCAATACATTTATTTTGAAACCTTCTGAGAAAAATCCAGGTGATTGTCACCTCCTTTTAGCTTTGGTCGTTATGAATTTAATCTCAATTTGCTGCTTTCTAAGTCAATTTTTGAAAGTTAATGAGATATTGTAGAAGTGTATGCATCTTCCCCTTCAACCTGGTAACTGGGATCAGGTTCTTGATGATGTGGCATCTTAGGCTATGAATGACATCACAAAGAATAAACCGGGAACAGTATTTTTCGTGACTACGGAACTTGCATAGTTGTATCTTATGTGCTGCTGCTAATAAAAAAATTCTTGCGCTGAGCTCGAGAAGATCCACCATGTGGTATTTATGTGTTCCATAATTAAAGATGGAATACATTCTCTTTTCCTAACTCTAGTTTGCCATTCTATTTTACTATCACTATTTTAATTTTATTAATTTTCTTGGGATTTTGGTACCTATGTTCTGGCTGTGACTCAGAACTATTCCTGATATGTCTTGATGGTTTGATGAAGGATCAAAATAAATTTCTCTGCATTTCTTTCTTGCACTTTTGACACATTACCATGCTCATTCGTGTGAATAACTGGATGATGCTAATCAATTTTCGATCATGAACTCTAAAATAAAAATGTTTTTGAATTTTTTAATATGAAGTGGTAGTGTAGTAAGTAGAGATATGAATCTCTTGAATTTGACTAACCAAATGAATGCCGATAGAGTCGAGTAGAGAAGAAGGATTCATGTAGCTAACCCCATTTGATGGGACTTAAGACTTGGTTTGGTTTACCGATTGTGAAACAGTTTAGAAAATTTCAGAATATTAATGCATATGGATTGTTCATGTTCATTTTTTGACATTATAGGGCATCCTATGAACTAGGGCTGTTGGAGTTGGATTGGTTTTACCGTCCCCTCATTACTCGACCCGACCAGATTGGGCTGAAAGAAAATCCATATGATTTTGACCGTTGTATTGCTCGAACCCCCACAAATTGGGTTGTACGGTTTGTTGGTCAGATCGAGTGAAACTGAATAATAAAGTATAGTGCATCTAACCAGCAAAAAAAAAAAAACAATTGCAGAGGTGCAGTAGTGACAAACCTATAACAAATATCCCAAAAAATCATCTCACTTCTCATAAAAAAAAAATCAAGGTTCGGAAAGAAAAATGCAGTGGTGAAGTTTAGGGGTAACTTGATGAGAAAGAAAGGAATGAGGGAGATCAGAGAGGGGAAAGCTTTCATTGTCATAAACGTCGTCAGAAATCTGTGAACCATCATCACATTCTTTTGGATTTGAGCAGTGCGCACCATGGTCATCATGTCATAGAGAACCATCATACATCGATTAGCACAATCGCCGCTAGAAGGAGATTAAAGGGGAAGGGGTTTCTGTAATCAGATGAAAGGGTGAGAGTATGAGAAGGTAAGAGACGAGAGGGGTGAGAATATGGGAGCTCTGAGAGACACAAGAGGGTGTGAGGGAAATGAAAGGGTGAAAGAGGCAAAGTGGAAGTCTGAGGGAGGAAGGTGGTAAGGCTGAAAGTCTTGGAAAGACAAGAGTCTTTGAAAAGATAAATGTAATCCTCAGATAAGGCTGAATCTTGGAAACATAAATGTCATCAACTGAGCCAACATGTAGAAACCTCAGCACCATGTACAAATGTCAGTTCGGTTCGAGTTTGATGGATTGTCCTTCGCCACACTCGTGACTCGACCATAAGTTGAATAAATTTGCTGAATCTGACCCGATTTCGACCAAAGGAGCTTTGAAACTGTCCGTGACACATTCAGATTGGTCAGGTTGGGTGGTTTTTTCGGGTGGTTCGGTTATATGAACAGCCCTATTATGAACATAGACAATTATATTTTCTTAAATTTCTTGTTGGTTTTCCAAAGATGCAGGATTTCTAGAATTAGTTGTAAGAGTT